ATTACCATTAACATTTCTATTGTAGGAGATCATTTTTATATTTCTACACAGATTCTACACATAAAAATTGCTAATCGAAAGTTCATGTAATTTAGTCATGTAAAAAAAAAATTCTACCATCTTCAAAGTTGACACTCTGGCCCGTTTACATTGGCTTAGAAAGAATGCTATTCACAAATGATATCATTAAAATCCATACCATATTTTTTCATGTAAACGATGTTCAGATTTTTCTAACCCTTGAGTACCATATCCATTATCCTAATCTAGTTTAAAATTAAATATAATGTCTTCGGCAACAAGGAGAAGTTACCCAAGCAATACCTCTCCTTTTTGGGAGCGCTAAGGTTCATTCTAGACGCCTGAGAAAAAAGAAAAGAAAAATGTCGAATGAGTTTGAGTAGTTTTATCCATGATCACATATATGTGTAGGATCCCCATTTAAAGAAGTTTGGTTTTTTTTTTCGAGTGGGTGTGCAGCTAAATACTACCTCTGCCTACCCACTTGATAATTTAGTAAGCTTGTCTAGAAACGCACCGGCCCAACCAGAACTTTAATCTGTTTTTAAAATGACGTATAATATACAAGTTACCCAAGCAATACCTCTCCTATATGGCAGGACTAGCCGGCACGGAAAGGAAAATACAAATGCCCCTACAGAAATTAGAGAAGGAAAGCGAGAAGAAAGGACTAAGTATAAACTACAAGGTGACAAAATGCATGGTTATCAGCAGAAGGATTAACCCAAACATTCAAATTACAAATCGGGGATACTAAAATAAAACCAGTACAGAAATTTAAATATCTGGGAAGTGTTCTAACAGGACGGAAAGTGCGACACTGAGATGCGAAGACGTATTGGGTGTTGCAGTTTTTTGGATATATTTATGTACTAGTGAGCTAGCCAAAATGAGCTGACTCATTTTATAGTCCACCAAGAGATGGGTTAACCAATCAGAAAGCTAAAAATATTCAATTCGACGTGTATAAAGGCAGCCATTTTGTTTTTCTCTCAAAATATCTCCACTGCCAACCTGATATCGAAGACTTAAAGAATTAACAGCCGCTACTTTCTCCGAATCTACACTGCCAACCTCTGATATTGAAGAGATTAGGGACTTCACTGGATTCCATATTCAGAGATTACGGCAAACACGGTCAACATTGGGATGGCCAAAGATTCATAACAAAAACTAAACAGAGTATTAAGAGATAGTAGAAAAATTCATTGAAAACAAAGAAAAAGTACTGAACTGTTATGTGATGCTGTATAGCAGCGGATGCTGGGCAATTTTGTCAAAGATGAAGAAGAGACTTGAAGCAAAAGGAATGTGGTTCTACAGAAAAATGCTGGGGACAACATGGACTGAACATGTAAGCAACGACAAAGTTATGGAGAAAATGGTAACCAAAAGTAAACTTTACTTAACATCAGGAAGAAGGAGTTGGAATTTCTGGAACACGTAATGAGGAAGGAGGACTTGGAAAACCAAATACTCACAGGACATATAGTGGAAAAGAAGGACACAGGAAAGTAGCACGTAACATAATTGTTGAGCTTGAGGGAATAGATGGTAAAACAGGGTTTAAGAGTAATAACAAAAAAAATAAATCTTATTAAGAGCTACAAGGGACAGGAAGATGTGGAGGGCCACGATCACTTACATCTTGAGTTTACTAAAAAGAAAATGCCGTTTGAGTAGATTTATTCGCTGATCCTTATCTTTTCGTTCCGGTTTTTTACATATTTCCTTCAAGTGAGAAAATGAAAGTGAATATACAAAAATAGAATTGGGTGTAAAAAAAAAAAAAGGATGTCTCTTCACAGCAGACTTATACAACTTTTACAGTGGGACTGATTCCGAGAGATTTAGAATTCCTACCAAGATTCATTATTGGCAGCAACAATCTTAAGCAACATTAGCTATGCAGGTGACATAGTGTCGGTAACAGACACAGAAAGGTAAACGCAAGCACTCCTACGAGAGATAGTAAAGGTAAACGGGAAGTAAGTACTAAATATCATTTCTTTTGTGGATTCCGAGATGAAATTCGTTCTCCAATGAATGACAAACGCAAGTATTAAAGATAAGAAATTAAATGTATTTATACAATAATACAATGGGTATATTGTTAGTAAATCCAGGAACACCGTTAGTCGTAATAATAATATATATAGATATAGTCTCGAAGTAGGTCTTCCTTAGAGTCTACGTACTTGTAACCGACTTCTACAAGCGGTTACCTCACACTATTACTCTACCTCCAACTCAATCACAATCACAATCACAATCTCTGCTCACTCTCCCAATCTCTATCTCTGTATATTCTGACTGACTCTGGGTATTTAACGGCAGCAGGCCAAGTAACACTCTGGTCGAGTCCACTTATATGAAAAAGGGGTGGACCCCATAATAATTTGTAAGAGGACCGAATGTATGATTGTCAGGATAACTCTGGAGACTCCTCTGACCCATAAATGATCGAATTATTCGGCAAAATATTCGAGGCTCTAATCAATATCGAAGTAGTTAAGCATCTTACTTCTCACGACCTACTATCGGACAAACAATATAGTTTCCGTTTCGCCAGTGCTACCGCTGATGTGTTAACAGCCATCACTGAATATGTATATCAAGCTCTTGATAATAACGGCGAAGCTCAAGCTGTGTCTCTAGATATATCGAAGGCGTTTGACTTGGTTTTGCACCATGGTCTTCTACATAAGCCCCAGAGCTACGGTATTGCAGGACGATTATTCGATTTAATCCAATCGTTCTTATCAAATCGTGAAATGAAGGTCGTTTTGAACGGGCCCGCTTCCAGATTCTTTCCCAGGAACTCGGGTGTCTCCCAAGGCTCTATCGTGAGTCCTACACTGTTTCAGATCTTCATCAATGATCTTCCTGGTGTCATCAGTCCCCAAATAGGTATTCATGCAGATTATATTACCATTTACTCCTAACTAAATAGCAAATCAGCCAGGCTGCGTCACTTGAAAAGGACTTCCAATCAATGGCTAACTGGGACAGGAAATGGCTTGTAAATTTTAATGCCTTCGAAACAAAACTGCTCTCAGTTGACCACCAAAGAGAAACTTCTCTGCCTGGCATCAGGTAGACTGCTGGAGATCAACATACTAAGTGTTCTTGGCCTCGTGTTTTCAACTCAGTTGAATAGGACTGGCTATATCGAATATTGATTCGGTATAGCCAGTGCTATTCAACTGCATCTACTGCAATGAAAGTTCGATCAGTGTGTCGTCAGAAAATTACGCTCGTCACAGTCCATGCATTGGATACTGTAGCCATATCTGGTCTGGTGCTCCTGCTGTTCATCTCTACGTTCTTGACAAAATCTAAAGAAGGATCTGTAATACAATCGATCCTGACCTGACATCTTGACTTCAGTCACTTTCTCACCGACATGCGAAGGTTCTCTGTCTTTTCTACAAATATTTTCATGGTACCTGCACTGATAAGCTTTTTTCCATGGTAACCCGACCACATGAATTCGAGCGTGCTACTAGATTGGCATCTAGTTCCCACCCGTTTACTGTTAAAATACTTAAATGCAACGGCTATTTCTACCCCAACAGTTTCTTTTCTCGTACTTCCCGCATGTGGAACTCTCTTCCGTTTCCTTGGTTCTCTGATAAATACAATCTTCAAAATTTAAATGCAACGTCAATCGCCATCTTCTGTCTTCTTGAATCCCGTTCATATTTTGTCCTTTTCTCAATCTTCCCTAAACACATTTTTTTCTCATTTCCACTCTTTGTACCCCCCCCCTGCGTACTAGTGGCATCCCCACCTTGCTTGGGGTGAAATGATTATAAAATACATACATACAAATTTCAAATTAGAGGTGCTAAAATGAAGCTAGTACAAAATTTTAAATATCTAGAACGTCTTTATCGAAGAACAAAAAGTGCAGCACCGAAATCAGATGACTGGAACAGCGAAATATGTCTTCCAGAAGCTAAGTAATAATTAAGTATCATGAAAATCTCGTTATAAACAAAGAAAAAAATACTTAACTGTTACGTAATATCATATAGGACAGTGAATGCTTGGCAACCGCATCGCAGATAAAGAAGACACATAAAGCAGCAGAAATGTGGTTCTACAGAGGGATGCTCACATTGCTATAGACCGAACATTTGAACAATAACGAAGTTTTAGATAAAGTAGAAACAAAAAGAACGCTTATATTTCTCATCAGAAAGAGACAGTTGAAATTTCTAGGGTACATATTCTGGAAAGAAGGCTAGGAAAATTTGACACTCATATGACTTATTGAAGGCAAAAGGGACAGACAAAGCAGCGCATAATCGACCTAACGAGCTTGTATAAATGATTGGAAGAACAGGGATTATGGAAAAACATAATTTACTAAGAGCTGCAAAAGACTGTGGAGAGCCACAATCACCCTCTTCCTAATGGCATACAGCACTTAAAAAGAAAACGAGCACGCGGTTAAATAGTACATTTGAGTAACCAGTCTTAAATATTATACAATTATTCACGATAATAACAACCTTGTCTTGTTAGTGTAACGACGTTGATTTTTCAATGATTACTCCACATTTTTACCAGTTTATTAAATTTCTTTAGACCTGTGTTCAGTTGCGAGAAAGTATGTCTTCTCTTACATAGAATTATGCTTTTCAAATATATTCCGCTTTTTACCTGCGGTAAAAGATGCAAACAAACGATTTATTTTGTAAAATGGTTAACGCACCAATCAGATATTTTCAATGAATTCATGAAGGAAAAAAGAAGGGAGGAGATTAGAAAAAAAGAAGCTGAACATGAAAATAAAGGAGAAAGGAAAAAGAAGATCAATGAGAATGAGTGGGGGCAGACAAGAAGGAAAAACGAAAGCAAGAACGTAAAAATAAAGCCAAAAAGAAAAACGCAGTGGAAGGAGAATAAAAAAAGATGAGTAAAAGAACAATTATGGAACGAGGAAAAAGAAAAAGAACGAGGGAAAATATTTAAAGAAGACGAGGTATAAAATGAATGGAAAAAACGGGGAAAATGATAGGAATAAAGAAAAAGAATATGGGGAAAAAAGTAAAAAGAAGGTAAAAAAGAGAAAAAGAAAAATTATAGACGGACAGAAAATAATAACGTGGGTGTATAACAGACTGTGAAGTGGGAAGGGAGACTATAGAATAGAAGAAGAAGAAGAAGAAGAAGAAGAAGAAGAAGTATGGGAGGTGGAGGAGGACGACGAGGAGGAGGGTGAGAAGAAGAAGAAGAAAGTAGATGATGATGATGAAAGAATGAAATGAAGAAGTATATAAGAAAAGCGCATAAAAAAAAACACGGAAAGAAAAAAGATAAAGAAAGAATAAACCAAAGAAAAAAGTGGACGAATAAAAAACTGAGGAAAGTGAAAGACAAAATTTCAATGGAAGTGAAGAAGAGGGAGAAGCAAAAAGAAAACAAAGATTACATAAAAGTAAAAGTAAAAGGAGAACAAAGATTACATAGAAGAAGAAGAAGAAGAAGAAGAAGAAGAAGAAGAAGAAGAAAGATTACATAGAAGTTACTTTGTTTTTATTTGCTACTCGGGTACATGAGAAAGAGCTGAATCACATTTGAGAGAAAGCTCTATTATATGACGATGGCGATAGATTCTACTGAAATTTGAATCGACATCTTAATCAAGGCTTAGTGCCATTTACTATGGCTTCGGGCGAACTGACGGAGAGTTTTGTATTTTTTTTTTCACAAAAAATTACTTAATAAAAGGACACGACTTAGACGCTTATTCATTTACCGAATTCTACAGAAAGACATATTATTTATGCGTGCTGAAGAGTCGAAAGAAATACAAAAAACATCGTATGCATACATACCCTCGCATATATGTGTAACTATATCACCTCACACACACACACGTATGTGTGTGTATGTGTATATATATATATATATATATATATATATATATATATATGCAGTATATATATGTGTGTGTGTGTGTGTGTGTGTGTGTGTGTGTGTAAAGTTTTGCTCTTCCAAATATATATTTGTCTCGAACATGAAATTGTCACATAAATAAAATAAATCAGCTCATACGCAATTTCTAAACTCATGTTACTCCGTTTTCAGTTTGAAATCGTTCTGAACTAATTCTGCAAATTGCAGCAGCCATGGATATATTTTAGCCTGGTGGGTCTGGGAAGTGATTTCATAGAGGACGGAAAGTGTGACACTGAAATCCAAAGGCGTATTGGGATAGCGAATGATGCCTTCCAAAACCCAAGCAGAGTATTAAGAAATAAAAAAAAAATGCTAGAAACACGGAATACAGTACTAAACTATTACGTTATACCCGTCCTCCTGTTTGGCAGATAGTGTTGGATAATCTCTTCAAAGATGAAGAAGAGATTGAAGCAACAGAAATCTAGTTCCGCAGAAGGACGCTAAGGATATCATTGACTGAATATGTGGGCAACAACGAAGTTTTAGAAAAATGGTAACAAAAAGGACACTTATACTTTAAAACAAGAAGCGAGAGTTGAAATTTCTAGGTGGACGTAATGAGAAAAGAAGGATTGGAAAATATGATACTCAAAGAACAGATTGATGGCAATAGATACAGAGGAAACAACGCATAACAGACTTAGTGAGTTGATTAAATGGATTGTGGAACGGTTCTTAGGAGAAATATTTAGAGCTACAGGGGACAGGAAGTTTTAGAGAGCCATGATCGCCTACGTCCTGAGGCAAGAAGAAGAAGGGTATTTTAACAAATTTTTCACGCATGTGTCTACAGTCATGTGAAAAGAGGTAAGACACCCTAAGAAATTTATGCGGTCCTGACTTGGTGTATCGACTACAGTCTCTTTCTCACAGACGTGATGTGGCTTCCTTCTGTCTTTTCTACAAATATTTTCATGGCGACTACTCTGACGAGCTATTTTCACTGGTGCCCCGGCTGCATGAATTTAAGAGTACTACAATGTTAGCATCTCGGTCCCACCCTTTTACTGTCGAAACAGTTAAATATAACCGCCTCTTCTACTCCAACAGCTTCTTCTCTCGCACTTCCCGGCAGTGGATTTGCCTTTCTTTTACTTACTTCCCTGATAACTATAATCTTTTAAAAAATTAAATGTAATGTCAATCGACAGTTCATGTTGCCTTGATCCTCGTTCTTCTTTTTATCCTCCTCCGTTCTACTTTTTATCCCCCCCATGACCAGTCTTTCCCCTTACTTACACTTTTTGTAGTCCCTTGTGTAGTAGTGGCACTCCCGCCTGGTTTGGGTTGAATTGCTTAAAAAAATTACAGCAACCACACACTTAACGACTAATTTGTTTAACAATCACTGATCAGCGGTAAAATTTCGTTAAGTAAACATTTTTTTAAATCCAACCCAGTCAGTATTTGTATGTTGTCTGGAAACGCAGAGAATGTGAATGTTCTCTTTTTTCAAAATAAATGAATAAATAAATAAATAAATCATATTTACAATCTTACTAACCGAAGTAACGTACAGAAAATGAAGCTTATTTTCGAACTTCTTTAATTCCTTTACTGTTTAGTACACTATTCCGCTATGGTACATAGACTACAATACTAAACTGGCGTCGAGATCTCATCAACTGACAGCTGAGCTGCTAGATATAAGCCGTAAGTTCTATGCTAACAGTTTCTTTTCTTGCACTTCTCACTTGTGCAACTCTCTTCCGGCTCCTTGCTTTCCAGCCAACTTTAATCTGCAAAATCGCTATCTACACTTCTCCTGATTACTCTTTTCTCTTTGCCGCCCATTCTTAAAGTTTCTGGTCCTAATTCTTCCACACCTTGTAACCTCTTGTATCTTAGTGGCTTTACTGCCTTGCATGGGGTGATATCGATAAAAAAAAACGAAGAGCCTCGCCTTTTAAACAAGCACTTTTATATACAATAAAGAATTTATGGCGGATTCCGTGATGATATGTTGGTTAGGCTTCATTACATCAAAACATCTCTAATCCATGCTTCAGAGGTGGTATGATGATTTTCTAAACGTAGTTTTAATGTGGCACAAGGCAGAAAGTATGGGTCACCCAGTGAGGATCGAACTCTTTCAGAAGTGGTATGAAGTTGCTGTGATCAAATGCTGCCTTTGGTTTGCGTAAAACCTATATTCTGTTACTGTGCTTAGATAATTCATTTTGGATTCGTCTGTCCAACGCACATCCTCCCAGAATCGCTAGTTAATACAGAAGCCCTGGTCTTTGTTAGGAGTTCTTTTGCAAACTTTAATCTTGCCTCGTTTTGTTTTTTGGTTTTTTTTTTTTGGTTTTTTGTTTTCTTTTTTATCCTTTTTTCTTTCTTTCTTTTTTTGTGGGTGGTGGGTAGCAAAGGTTACTTTGTTGAAAGTCTCCCATGCAGATCAAACTTGGACAGTCTCATTCTAATCAAAGAAATGTACCTTGGCATCAATTGTGGAAAGAGCAACATGTAAGTCCGCTGGTGAACTTTTTTAACTTCATTAGGCGTCTGCCTTTACTAGGACGGCCTGACGAGGACACTTGTTTTAAATATCCTCCTTTTGTAAATTATTTTCCAGGTAGTAGAATGGCTAATCTCTAATTGATTGGAGATATTTTTAAATCCATTTCTCAACCAATATACATCTACCCCTTCTTTATAAAAGTATCAAAGAGCCATTTTTATCTCGCAAATAAAGATACTACTCACTTCCACAACTAAGAGTAAACAAAAATAAATGTGTGAGGTTTAAATAAGATAGGCTCCTTCAAAAGATATTCTTATCTGATGTGGTGCATGTGATTGTAATTTAAATCATTTTAAGTAGCAACATATGTGTGGGTCTCCTAACTTTTTTCTTCACCAGAAAATGGCATCACTATTAATTAAACCTTCCAGTTATTTTTAAAAAATGCTTTTAGTATTATGTCGTCATATTAACTCCATCTTTATATAATGTTAGAATAAAAGTCAAAAAGAAAAAACAATACATTTCTAAGGAGAGTGAACAATAAATGGACACGAATTAAGATGGCATTATAACGATTGACATTGTATTTGCATTTTCTTATATTTAGTTAAAAATATTTCAACGTCTTCTTGCAACGTGATTAACGGTGTCATTTATAACCAGACTGACTAATTTGGAATCCAGAACAATTTACTCAGAAAAGCAGAGTTTCAAATCCAGTCGGATTTGTTATATTTACTTACTGGCGAAATACCCCGAGGAAACTCTTCTCCCTACCAGGTATTAGTAGGATTTGTATCATTAAGTCATTATTACCTCCAAAAAATTCTACAAACTAAAACTATTTTCTGGCCTTAACCCATTAACTGCCAATTTTTTTTAATGCGCATTTTTGGCCCAGACAGGTACCTTAGGAGTTTATTTATTCCCTGTGTTTAATTTCACTAGTTACCATTGTCGTTTTTATAGAAACTAGAAAATCAAATATATATGTGTATAAAACATCAAAAAATAATATTGATTAGAAATAATAAAAAAAATACTTTTCAAAATAGTCATTATTTTTCTACTCGTGAAATGTAAAATTACGACAGAAAGTATCTTCTTACGGCTAATAATAAAAACTTTAAAGGCTAAGTGTTGTAAAATACACCTCTGCAAATGCAATGTATGTAAGCAATTCAATGTAAATGCAAAGAATAACATGTAGTGGGTTTAATTTTAACAGATGCCCAAATGGGGCTCATGACTGGTCATGGGTTAAATAACATGTAAACAAATAAATCAATCTAAAAACTATTTCAGTTCTGCAAAGCAAAATCTAGGAAATTTCCCTGTACTGACATAAGAAGTGATGATAACCTTGTAATAACGAACTGTCCAGTGAGATTGAAAAAAGATTTCTTATCTTAAACACATTAGGATAAAATTAAACGCAGAGCGCCTGAAGGATTCCATCATCTGCTCGGCCTTTCAAGCAACGATCCACAGAAATAAATGATTGCTTGAGTTTAATTAATAAAAACAGACATTTCTATTTAACTTAACTAGTAGAACTGATAGACTGACTGATATTTTGGTTTATTTTTTCCGGCTTTTCAACCATTTCAAGGTTATTTAAAGCTCTAAAAGAGAACCTCGAGGCTTATCTCGCTAGAACAATTACGAGTAGTGAGTTCGATCCTCACCGGGTGCCCCCCCCCCTAGTTTCGGCCTTGTGCCACATCTAAGCTACGCTTGGAAAATCACTATTTGAAGCTCGAAAATATTTTGGGATATAATAAAGACTTACTTATGCAAGTCCTACGAATTAACACATAACTTAGAATTGGTGAACTCATTTACCTTCCCCAAGGGTATTTGCGCGTAAAGGAATTAAAAAAAATGACTGGAATTGGAACACGGTTCTACGATATCCAATTTCG